TCCAACATCAGTACTGAACTGAATAAATAAATACATCTATTTAGAAATAAAGCAATCTAAAAGCTCTTACACAAGCCAGTGAAGATACTCTGCTTCGTTATCCAGAAGATGCTCGTCTGAAAAAAAAAAAAAACATTTCATTGCTAACGGATGTTAAAAACAAGTTGGTCGGGCCAATAGTTTGGAGGGTCTCATGTAAAAGTTAATGCTGACCGGGAGATGTGAGCAGGAGCGTCCAGAGTGAGCCCTCCTCTGCATCGAAGCTGATTTTTGGGGTGGACGCCGCCTAAAGGCAAAACAGAGCAGATAAAGTCAGAGGACAAATCCAATGCAGACAAATCCATCCACTGCTTGAACATACCTCAGTAGGTGTCAGCTGATTCCCATAATGAACTTGACCATCAGCTCCCTGGCTGTAACTGATGCGGAGGGGGATCTGAGGTAGAAAATACGCCATTGGGAAAAGATCCCTGAAGACGCCATAGTGGTCGGCCAACTTTTTCACATCGAACGGTTTGCTGGTCTTCTCCCAGGTCTGCTGCACTCGATCCAAGGGGATCTTGACTAGTGGGCCGCATGCAGGCGTGTTAACCTCAGACCATATTCAAAGCAATATGCAATGAACATCAAACCAAAACTCACAAGTACGAAGACGGGAGGCCCTCTCCAGCTCAACGTTCCTCTTGTTTTCTCTCATCACGTTCCTCCTCTCCCTCACCTCTTTGGTCCGGCTGGGTCGATAGTAAGGCAGCCCGATGTCCACTCGCTCAGCACCTTAAAACACAACAACACTCACGTGATGCATTCAAATCTCATCTGGGCCCTGGGAGATTCCGGTTTCATCCCTCACCATGTTCAGGATCGGCTTCCTCCATGTAACCCCTGTAGGTCCTCCACCAGACTCGCTTCCTCTTCGCCTCCTCAGCTTGTCTGAAGTAGCGGGTGTAGCTGCGGTATTTCTCCAAAGAATCAAGGTTTGATGCGTCGATCTCCTCATTGGGCATAGGACCCAGCGGAGGGACCCGTCTGCTGAGGGCCGCTGTGAGCAAAGAAACATCCAGAACCTATACTATGGCTTTCACATTATCAGCTTACAGAGCTGCAGTTTTAGAAGATGAGAACAATTGAACCAATAATATAAATTTTTAATAATAAGTCAGGCATGTTCAGGCATGTTCACAGACACCTCTTTTCGTGACTAGTTATGCTTGTCATGAGATTCCAACCTTTTTCCTTTCAGCTGCTGTTTGTCTCACAAACTTCCCATTTTGAAGCCTATATTTGTCTACTGCCCTCTGCTGGATGATCAGGGTACTACAGATATTAAAGATAGCCATATGTGGATAAAATGATGAAAGAGCCAATTAAATCGATACTAAATGAAAACATCGATTCACATCGTTAGCTAAATATGACTTAATTGACTTTATTTAACCAGTGTTACAAAGATAACTTAACTATTACAGAAAAAAATGGGATGATGTGATTTTATTGGGAAAACAAAGTCTCATCCAAGAAAATGTTTGTGTCTGAACTTGAAAGGATTTAGTTTCTCTCTTTATTCATCAATTTGTTTTTTCTTTTTTTAATTTGATCACAATTTTAAATGAACTTTTCTATGTTCTAAACATATTGAGATTTACCATTATGGTTGCGAGTGGTAAAAATGGAATAATTACAATCACAAAAATAGTCTAACCTCTCGGTTATGTTAGAAAACAACCAGGCCCTTTTTAATCTTTATGTTAAATGGATCCGTTTCCATTTATAAATTATCAAATTATTAACACTTATTAGTCGGATGAGCCAGTTAAGGATTAATTTCCCTTTATATGTTAATTAAATTGGGAGCTTATATTTGCGTGTCTTCCTTTGCTTAATAATAGATCATTAACATAATTAATATTGGAAAAAAGAAGATTTTGTATCGAGGCCATGATGATGTTTGGGGATTTTATGATTTTTTTCAAAAACGGTTTCACACGGCGATAAGCGAGCATTAAGATTCTGATCCTAACTTCTAAATTATGATGCAAATCAGCAAAATACCTGTTGTAACAATTGTCCTCGCGTTATTGACCCCTATTTCTGTCCCAGTCCGCAGGGCAGCAGCACAGACACAGCGGAGCGCCATCTTGGATTGCCTCCTCTATAACTACGGTGGCCGGGAGGTTACCTAATTAAATGAGCAAGATGCGTTCAATGCACGACAGAAATCCGAACGAGAAACACGTCAAGACCAAGGTACTATTTAAGCAGTCCGTTTCCCGGATAAAGTACCGTTTCCCGTCACTGTTACTTTTTTTATTGGTAGAGAAATGTTAGTTAACATTTCTGAAATCTCTCTAATGTAATTTAGAACACATAATACAACAAAAGAACATAGCAATAGAAAAAAATAGAGAAATAGAAGGAAAGTTAAACCATCATCAAATTAGAAAACTCCTGAAGTTTATTCTCTTTTCTGATTTAGCTTAGTGTATTAGTTTATCATAATCACAACTTGGCACTCAACACACTTCTCTCCTGAATATTTAAAGATAAAAAAAACTACAAGACCTCATATATTATTCTAAAGTATATTTCAAAAAGGGCCTTTTATTGTCTTCTGAATGAATTATTTGTTATTTACATCTAGATAGATGTAATTCTTTTGAGTCTTTTGAACATTTTACCAATTTAATATCTATTGAAAGAGGCTGACCTGGTTAATAAAAAGCAATATGATGAGGATTTATTTTTCTACACACTAGTATTCTTGCGCCAATGTCATTTTTTGGCCCCGATCCCTGATTTATGTGTGTTTGTTTATATATGAAGAACTACATACTACTTCAATGTAAAATAATTGCCATCATGGCTTTGTTGAGCTGCTGCCTACCTTTGTGAAGCAGGAAAAAAAGACTAATGCAAAGTGAATCCAGTAGACCTTTTTATTGCCTACCTAGAATGGGTGACAATAGTTGAATAAACTTTTGGCTCTCAAAATGGTATCGGTGCCCTATTTGTTAGTACTCGCCGATAGCAATATCATCACTTTAGTAATGGATCAGGGCCCCGCATTCATATTTTATCCTTTATTCTGTAAAAACCCATCCTTTTTCAAATAAATATAATTTTCTGAATAATTTAAACTAAATGAGTTTTGTCCTAGGTGAAAGTCAGGAGTCAGTTAGATACAACCCACTAAAGGATGGCTAATAATTACCAATGTTAGTGTTCTTTGTTGTGTATTCAAATATAGTTTATGTCTCTCTGGATTTTCACTAGAATAAAGGTAAAATATGTCGCACTTTCCAAGATGGATATGGAATGCAAATTTCCCCTTGAGGAGGACCAAATAATTTTACAATTTAACAATGCCCAAACTAGATTGATTAATTATTTTAAAATTAAAGAATCTTTCAGTCTAATTTCCCTCCAGAATTGTCACTGTTTACGAGCTACAGTACATTATTATTTCTGTTAACTGTTGCTTGTTACTCCGCCATATAAACTGATTGTTAGAAAGTCTTTGCAATTCGATTTTAAATTAATTTTACTAAACTGTATTAATATACATAGTAATGTATAAATTACTATGTCTATCACTAGGTATTAACAGTTACAGGGTGGTGGTCTGTACAGATTCCAAGGCAGTTTTAGAATATATTCAGGGAGAAGGAAATGATAGAAATGATTTAGTATTTTATTTTATTTATTTATAAAAAAAAAATTAGTACTGTAAATATACAGTCATTTGTTTATATTACTATTTATTTTAATTTTTTAAATGTTTTTATAAGTATTAGAAATCCAGCACAGTCTGTTTAGATTATATAGGGGTGGCATTGATATTTGGTTAAGTTGGCTTCCAGCACATGAAGATGTAAAAGGCAATGAAAAAGCAGATATATTAGTAAAAATTGCTTTAGAGGGAACGTTAACAATTACAATTCATTTTGGAAAAGGGGGAGGAAAATAACTTATTAAGAGTAAAGAAATCGCAAAAGAGGTGGAACGAAGATAAGAGAAGAAGATGATTGTATAAGGTACAAAAATCAGTATTAAATAGAATCATTAATGAGAGAAGCAGAAGGGAAGAAGTAATAATGATTAGATTAAGAGTGGGTGATACCTATTTAAATGACAATTCATATTTAATATGGAGGAAAAATAATGATAAAAGCTAAGGATGTGGAGAAAAAGAAAATGTAGAACACGTACTGATGAACTGTAAAACTTATGAACAAGAAAGGGAGAATTTGAGAAGAATTGTTGGAAGGACAGGCCAAGAATGGAGTCTTAAAGGAATATTGGGAAATTAAGGATATATAAAGGATATTCACAGATTAAGGAAAGCATTATTTATTTATCTACAGAATACAAAATTAGAAAATTGAATTTGATGTAAAGTAATGTTGCTACACACTCATGTACAGTAGGTGGCGGTATGCACCTTAAAGTTGCTTGTGTTCCGCCATAATTGAAAAGAAGAAGAAGAAGAACCTGTTCCAATGATGCCGCTCCATTCGCTGTGTTTCTTTTTCTCCGCAGGCCTTAAAGGCATCATATTATGCGTCTTAACGTCACCAGAGAAGCTTCTACATTCAGATATTAGTGAGCAAGAATAAGTCGTGGTAAGATTTGTTTTGCTATTTTTTTATACTTCAGTGGTCAGAAAACAAAAGCTTAATAAGTTGGAGTTTAATAGTTTGGCTCTTTCAACAATGTTATTGAATATTTGTGTCAGACTCCTAGCTAAATGTAATGCTAACGGTAGAGCTAGCTCTGCCCTCCTAGGTTAGCCTGTTAGCTCTACATACATTATTATCACTAGGATTTTATTACTTTGCTGTGTTTTAATCTCATTCGGTTATCGAAAAATAAAAATGAGACATTTTACATTTTAGTGACCCTGTTTCGGTCACTGTATCATTATTATTCGGCTCTGTAGTTCTGTTTGCTGTCATTTATAAACCACTCTGACATCTCTTTGTCTTTTCTTCCTCTCAGATGTGCATTCTTTCTTTGCAAGTATGGAGTCTCAGAATTCAAATCTCACCTGCGCCATATGCCTGGAGCGTTATAGATACCCTGTAACCATCCCCTGCGGCCACACTTTCTGTAAAGACTGCATCACCACTCACTGGGACACCAAGAGCAGGTCCAACATCGGCCCTCGGTGCCCCATCTGCAACGATGAGTTCCCCTCCAGACCGGTTCTGAAGCGGAACGTGTCCCTGTCGGTGCTGGCCGAGGCTGCCAACAGCACGGCTGCATCCTGCAGGGAGCATCCGATTAGGTCAGGGGATGGAGGGAGGACCATGCTGCTGTGCGATCGCCACAAGAAGCCTCTGGTTTATTACTGCAGACAGGACAAAATGCCAGTTTGCTACGAATGTGGCATCAAAGAATGCATCAATCACGACAGAGTCCTGTTGGAGGCTGAGCGGGAAAACCAAGAGGTAGAACCTGCCACCTTTATTCAGTTTCATTCAGCTTTTTAGGATGAAGGTTAAAAGCATTTTCTCTGTTTCCTTACAGCTGCTTCTGGAGAGGAAGAGTAAGGAGGTGGAGAAACGCCTTGAAGAAACACAAAAGAATATAAATGACTTGACGGAGAATATCAATCACGCTAAGGTGATGCTCAGTTTTTACATTTTTACGGCACTAATGGCTCTTTTTTTCGACAGTAGGCTGAAAGGCAGATTATACTTCTGCATCTGCACACATCAAATGTTGCTTGGGTCTGGTCGCCAACCGGTTTTGCTGGTATGCTTCTGCACTGTCGGTCTGGAATTTCTAGGGACACACAGCAGTTTCCCACCAAAGTGCAAGGGGGAGCCTATTCGAGAACTTGCAAGAACTTCGGCGGATGGTCACGAGAACTTTGGTGGCAGCGGCAGGAGTGTTTATCTTTCAAAACAACAATGGAGGGTCTGCAAGATATCACGGAGATGGATCTAGAGTTGCTAGACATCAAAGAGGAACAGGTTCTGTTAATGGAGTTGACAAAAAGAAAAAGGAGGACGCGTAGGTTGTCCATTGTAGTTGTTCCTTGGTTTTTAAAAATGGCGCGCCCCGGCACCGAATCAAGAGGGATGAGCACACAGACAGCTGGAAAGGCATATCACGGACCAATCACAGCTTCTTTTTGTTTACACACTTCTGTTTGAGGTCTGTGCGGGTTTGCGACCGTCCGACGCGTAGTCAGGATTTTTTTGAGATGTGCGACGACGGTTGCAGAACCTCTGAGACAGATTTGACGGTTGCAGAGGATATGCTTCAGAAGCATAAATTGGCCTTGACAGAAGAGGGTGTAAGAGAAAGAGGGAGAGACAAGCAGGAAAGGACCACAGGCCGGATTTGAACCCTGGTTGATTGATGCAAATCTGTCTCTGTGCGCGACCACGCCCCCCCTCAAAAAAGTCCTTATTACACGTTGGACGGTCGCAAACCCGCACAGACGTCTAGCGGAAATGGCAGACTTTAAAAAGCCGCTGTGATTGGTCCTTGGTATGCCTTTCCGGCTGCCTGATAAACACTCCCGCTGGCACCGGCGAAGCTCTCGTGACCAACCGCCAAAGTTCTTGCGAGTTCTCGAATATGTTCCCCCTTGTACTTTGGCAGGAAACTGCTGTGCGTCCCTAGAAATTCCAGACCGACAGTGCAGAAGCATACCAGCAAAACTGGTTCGCGACCAGACGCAAGCGACATTTGATATGTGCGGTTGCAGAAGTATAATCTGCAATTAAGGATCGTACATGGGTCATGCGCGCTAACCACTGCTCCACCTGCACGCCCACATTTGCAAACTAACCTGTTCTACTTGGTTTACTAAAAAGGTGACAAACGATGTACTAAAAAAATCTTTGCACATTTAAGCTTTTTTTCCTTTATTTTTTGGGGTAATCATGATACTAAATAGTGAACATCCACCTCTCTTTATACCTGCTATCCATGCAGGGCGCAACTTTTCAGTGGGGTCCATTTCAATAAGCAGGTTTAGCAAACTCAGATTCAAATCCTCACCTCTAAATTGATCTAGCCTGAAGTCTGGAACTCTGAGTTTTCGGTATCAGAACGGCTGCTCTGAATTAGTTTAATCAACTCTAAGTAGAACCACTCAGAGTTAAACACATGTGTAACAAGCCATTATCAGTGGAGCCACAATTTGACGAGTCACCATGACGACAGGCAACAGGAAGTGCTTATTTCACCCCACTGGAACTAGACATTTTAATGCAGAAATGCAAACCTCCAGCAGAACCAGGCTCGGTGTGAGCGGCCATCTGCCGAGGCCGACTGGGGTTTAAGGAGAAAGAAGCAGAGATACAAGAAGCAACTGTGAAATAAAACAATACACAAATATAAACTGTAAGGTTTCAAACTCATGGGATTTATTAAATCCAAGACAGACGTCCATAAAAGGATAAACCTTCCTGCTGTTCTAGAGATTTTTAACCTAACCTAGGGTTATTATAGAAATGGACCCAATACCCAAGCTAGAATTTCCTGAGCAGATACAGACATTAATATCAGTGTAGCATTTAAAAGATGTTAATGCTTTAAAAAAATCTTTAGTAAGTTGATAGAACAGGTTCCAAACATGTATACAGAAGCTAAACACAAAAAACTCCCATGATGCATCAGCCAAAAGTCCCACAGCCTTAAACCAAACAAGTCATTTAAATAAAAACAAAATAACCACAATAGCGCAATCTAGAAATGACCAAAATTAATATTAATTAAGAAGAACATCTAACAATTTGAAGAAAAGTAAACTTAAGATAAAACAAATATTATAAATAAATATAAATAAAACAAATATACCATAAAGCATACCAAGATAAACATAAAATATAAATTCAGTCTCCTATGATCAGATCAAAGTTTCTCTACCAATAAAAGTCGGAAAAGGACCGATTTTCAAAATGTAGACGATAGAAATGGCCAAAGTCTGGCAAGCATTAGTGTCCAGCTTGCTATTTATGCTAATATGCCTCCTATTGTACCCAGCTGTCAACCTGACAAGAGCACGATGCTGGGAGAAATTTAGCTTAATTATGGACATTGTGTAGAGTTAAGGGGGGAAATATTAGCTGTCAGGATTAATCGTAGAAGCAGATAAGAACCCTGTGGTAACTCTGGAGAAGCTGCATTGATTAGTCAAGATTAACGCAAGAAAAAAAGGGTTTATATACTTCCACTTAATTATCTTGTAGTTTCACTTTATGTCACTTACAATTTCAGTAAAAACCAATTAAGGGTTTTGTTGCAGAGACGCTAGAGACGTTTATTACCTTGATGCTCCTAAAAGAGGCAGTTACGACTGGTCGATGCATGAATCAAACTCTTTAAAGACTAAAAGGCTTTTAAACTGCATGAACCAGTTTTTCTCCAGCAATCTGTGTAACCGATCCTTCCATCGGCAGGTTATTGTAGATCAGACCTCCTCCTGTATGAAGGTGAAATTCTCCAGTCTGATCAAGATCCTGGCTGAGAAGCAGGAGGCCACGGAGCGGTTCATCGAGGAGCAGAAACAGGAAGCCATCGTGGAGGCGGAGACGCGGCTGGCCCGCCTCGAGGAGCGCTCCAAGATCCTGACAGAGACCCGCGATCAAATGGCAGCTCTGGGCCAGCTCTCCGATACAGACCTCATCAGGGTTGGTACCTCCAAGACGGCAGTGTTTACAAAACATCAACTGTTTTAGTCGGTCGTGGAGCAGTGGAATCAGAATGGAGGATTTTAAAGAAATGAAAGCACGGATAAATATAACTCTCTTTAGTTCTGATTTTACTTCCCTCCTTTAAAAAAAAAACAAAAAAACAGCTGTTGTCAGACTTGGAATATGTAGTTTTAAATCACTTTGATCTCCTCTAAGAAGACTTAATTTTTTTCTCAGGAATCAACACGGGTAGAAGTGCCACATTTCAGCGACATCTCCACAGATGTGTCGCCAAATCTTCTGGATCGATTAAACGGTGTCACAGACGTTCTGACCCGAGTTTCCAAGCTGGTTTCTGAGGACCTGGAGAGAGCCGTGTGCACTGCTGTGGTTCAGGACGGCGACGGTGAGCTATTGCTGGGCTCCTCAGGACTTTCTCCTCACCTGTGTTCTCATGTGACTCCTGGATTTGCAGGTTCTCCTCAGGATAAGAGGCCGGTTCTGGCTGTGGTTCCCAGTCCGGCTGCTCCGTGCCTCCCAGGAGGGAAGGAAGGCCTCAGCGCCTGTGAGTCCTGCTTGGAATCAACCACAGGGGTGAAGCTTTTACTGTTCTGATCTCAGATTTGTGTCCGTCTCTTTGCAGATCAGTGCACTCTGACCTTTGACCCTCGAACTGCCAACGAACACCTGTATCTGTCTCATGAGAACCGAAGGGCAGAGCACCTGACCTCTGGGCCGCGCCGTGTCCCAGCTCACGAGGCGCGCTTTGACCACACCTGGCAGGTTCTCTGCTTTCAGGGCTTTAAAAACGGACAGCACTACTGGGAGCTGGAGGTGTCCAAACCGTGGGCGTACCTCGGGGTAAGGCCGCTGCTGGTTCCGCTCAGGATATTTAAGATGCAGACTTGTTCGCATTTCAAATGCATTTCTGTCCATCCAGGTAACCTATGAGACCATCCCCAGGAAGGAGAAGGGCAAGAGGTGCATGGTGGGAATGAATGAACTGTCATGGAGCCTGCAGCTGGACGAGCACCAGCTCTCCGCCTGGCACAACGGGCGGCGGGAGACTCTGGCCGGCCCCTCCCACCACAGCCGCATCGGCATGCTGCTGGACTACGAGGCGGGGACGCTCACTTACTACGGCGAAGGCCAGACCAGGCTCCACGCCTTCCACTGTGTCTTCACCCAGGAGCTGTTTCCTGCCTGCTGGATAGGAGAGGGCGTCAGCATCACCCTCTGCTCCACGTGAGCCCAAACAGGAGGCGCAACTAGCTGGTTAAACACGGAGAAACTCCTTTTATCTGTTTAGAACTCTTTCTCCCTTTAAGTGACTGCTGGTTTATGACCATCGTCTCCTGGAAACCTTCAAGCATCTTCATCTGAATGGTTTCATCCTACTTTAGACCATTTTGGATCGAGCTCACTGCATCCGATTTCATTCTGCAGCCAAACAGATGCTTCAAAGCAAATGATGGAAACGTCTAAAAAAAACATTTCATATCAAACCGTCTCTGCTGTATGTTCGTATCGACAGATGTGATTCAGCAGATTGACTGCAGGATTAAAGGAGACACTAACTTAATGACACCCTCACTTTGTAACCAAAGTGAGGGTGTCATTAATGGGTTAAACATAGTCGTCAAGAGGAGACCTTGTGTTTATAGAGAGCCGATGGTTCCAGAAACGTCCCGTTAGTCCCTCTCTTATTTTAATCGTTTAAATTTGGAAACAAACTGTTTTTTAAACAGCTGGCCCTCATATAGTGGATTTTCTCAAATCTAGACGTGTTTATAATGATCCATACAGGTTCAAATATGTTCATCCACCTCCTATAAAATCCCCCTTTTAACCAGTTAACTTATCCAACTGGTTATCTGAGCGCTTGTCTTTGTTTCAACCAATTGGTTAATTTAAGGTGATGAATTTAAAAAGTTGTCCTCTATTACTGCACCCCAATATTTATCAGACCTCTCGCCCCCCAGTATGATGCAGCCACCACTGTGTTTGACAGCTGGTACAGTGTTTATAGTTTAAATTCTTTTAAAAGGTGAATCTTCATAATTTCCATCTGTCAAGCGTGGCGGTGGTAACATCATAATATGGTCTGTTATCCTGCTTTTTGCACACACTGGATGAAGCAATCAGGTTAATGTGGAGCTCCTTCCCATAATCCCATCTTCAGCTGTGTGGAGTTTGTTTCAGGAAACAACCTCTGCAAAATAGAGAGGCCAAATATCCGTGATGTCATTTCAAAAGCAGGAAGATTCTGCTTGGAAGGAAACATTTCAAACCTGAATGTCTAAATTTGTTCATTTGGAGGATTAAAAGAAAATCAAGATTGTGGATTTAACTGTTTTTACAAAAGTTTTAATGTTGTTCTACACTTGAAAAGAACGGTTCAGGTTTATAGATGAAAGCTAAACCTGATAAATTGAAGGTCAGGATTCCTGCTGGAAACACTGGAATAATAAAGCCACGTAGCTTCTTCTAGTCGAACATCACCTCCCTACATCTGCTGCAGTCAGATTAGCCTTTTATTAGAAAACTACGTTTCAGAACGTAGAGGTACTACTGAGAAACAAGTTTGGTTCTTTCAGCATGAATTCAGGAAGTGATTTCTGCAGCGAGATGCTGGAATCAGCAGCACTTTTCCGATGTTTTCGGCTTTGTTTACAGCAATCAGCCTTATTTTTAGTGTTTAATGAGCTTAGCTATAAGCCTTTAGCAGGTCCAGGTAGCTGGGGCTCAGGATTTTGGGAAACCGCTGTGGATTTGCACAAAAAAGAGCGAAGAGGTTTACTGGTTTTACTCCCCTTCTCACATTTTAAAGGTGGACATTCAATGCTGTCAAAATGTGACAACAATCCTGACTGAGGGAATAAAAACACCTCTCATTTATGAGTTAAGAGCCATTTATTAAAACTTTTACCTAATGCACACATGCTTCTGTTTAAATCATGCCTTTTTTCCTATTTGAATCACTCTGCATTAACTGTTCAATAAATTAGTTTGAAATAAATAGAGCTGTATTTTATTGTACATCCAGCCATGACAGAGCAAACTGTAGCCTGATGCATAGCATTCTAAAAGTGCAAAGAATCAGCAGCCGATGTGCGACAAGATACAGGATACAGATAAATGACCACAGAGGAAGGAAGGAAGGAAGGATGGAGGCTCAGATACTGACACGCTCAGATCGACTGAAACCGAGGAGTTTAGATTACGAGCACAGAAACTGAGACGGTCCTCTGAGCGGTCATGTTACTATCAGGGGAAAATGGACGTCAGAGAAATGAGGTGTAGTCTGAGCATCACCGAACAGGACGTGACATCATCGGGTGGCTGGTCTGCTCCTGGCGGGATAATCCACCCTCTGCTCTAATCCCGGATCAGGGATTCAATGCCGGGGGCTTTAATCTGTGTAGTCCTCTTATATCCACTAAAGCATGTCAAAACAGAGATTTTACAAAAACTACTCCATAACTTCACCTTAGTGTTCTCCATAAAATAGCCTCTCTTTAAACCTGTACAACCAAAGAATAGAAAAATAAGCCTGCATTTAGTTCGCCTCTGGTCATTTTAGTGAAACAAATACCATCAGATCTAGAGCTAAAGGTGGGGAGGGGTTCAGGGGACACAACGGGAAGGCAACCAACACCAGAACCATCCGTTCTTGTCTCTTGTTACTTTCTAGGAAGTAAAAGGTGCTTCTGAGGAGAACCAAGCAGACCACACTGAGGGAGACATGGAGGAATGAAAATGTTAGTAAGGAAGACCCAGAGGGGAGATGAGGACTAAATCCCTCCTGATGTGGAGTCAGTGGAATGAGAGAAGAGATGGTCCAGAAGGAAGTGGGACAATCAGGGGGGGGGTCGAGGACGTCTACTGGTTCTTCTTGTCCTCTGGAGGAGAGTACGGTGGAGGCTTGTCCTGCAGAGACGAGAGAGCAGCTGTGACTGCTGGAGCAGAACTAATAACTTCAGATATCATAAAAATGAACCCACAAAGTTTAAAAAGTAGTGATTATGGTTCAAATCTAAAGTACAAGTTCCCCATTTCTTTAACACTTTGACCCAAACTATCAGCTTCAGATAAAGCAGATCAGTAAAGATGCTCAGAATGAACACTGAACGCCGCCAGTAGCCTCAAACTGCTCCATCATCAATGTTACTGTAACCCCCAGATTCCACATCCTCCGTCCCGCTCATGCAGAGTACCCGTCTGTCATGTTAACCAATGAGAGCTGTTCCACATTCACTGCTACTCTTCAGCAAGTCACCGTCCACATAATTCTTCTCCGTCCATCACTGCAGAGCTATGTTTTGCTCCAGGTCGAGATCCGTAATTATAATCGCACCAAACAGGAAAAAAGAACAGCGAGAAGATCCTGTTTGTCAAATTAAAATATAGTAATGATGGATTGGTAACAACAAATTAGAGAATAATTCCCAATAACTAAGGCAGTTTAATTAAATGACTGGATGCCAACTGTTGGTACTTCAACAGACCAGGAAGCAGATTACTTATCTCCCTAAAAATATATATTTTATACAGAGAAGCATAAAAGTTTAATTAAATCCAGTCAAAGGAACAGAAATCAACAACAAAAAGAAAATATTTGGGCAGAAGCTGCACATATGCTGGATGCTGATGAGGATTTTTTTTAATGTGTCATATTAAACGTTCATTTCAGCATGTTTTGCTCCTTTGAATTTTAGCCATAATATCGCGCATGCTCCCCTCGAGCTCAGAGGAAGTCGGTGCGGGCGAATAGTGCAGGCTGTAGGTGGAGCGGAGCAGTGACCGAGTATGCGGAAAGGAAACACCATGCTGAGGAGCCATAGGCTAAGTGATGGCAGCATCATGCTGTGGGGCCGTTAAACTTAGGGTGTCATTAATGGGTTAAACAGTCGTCTAGGGGAGACCTATTAAAGGATATTTGATCACATATGAATAGATGAATATTTGATTAAACCTGAGAAAATCCATATTTAATATCAAACTTGGCCTCCAACTTTTATTGTTAAATATCGAAGTGTTTGGAAGGTAAGTTTAGAGCATAATATTACCTGTGGCAGGTACACATGTGTAGGAGGCAGGGTGGCAGGGCTGGCGCTGGCTGCTGCTTCTGCTGCTTTAGCCTCCGCTAAGAAAGAATGGCAGAGGACAGGAATGGATGTTAGCTTAATATGTCGTTCACTATTAAAATCTCACCCGTGAAGGTCAGAAAAGAGCCTAAGAACTTATGGACATTTTAAAATAAAGTATACACACCCCTTATGTGCTGATTTCACAAAATTGTATCTATTTATTCAAGGATTTTATGCAGTAAAAAGAGGTAAAATTAGTTGTAAAGTGGACGGAAAACGATTCATGGTTTCACTTCTTTAAAAACAACCTGCAGGCTCACGTTTCAGCCCAGATGAGACATCAGAACCCCGTTTTTCTGCAACTGTAAGTCCTAAAAGTTCAAGCTATTAATCTGAAGTGAAACAGCTCAAACCAAAAAAACATTTCTTAAAAACAAGCAGTGTTGTTTTTCTTCTCATGAACCTAGAGATCATTATCTGTGCAATGTTTGGCTCCATCCTTTGGTAATACTGATGATACTGGCTGTGCGTCACTTCCATATAGATAGATGACAACCTTTACATCCCTTCCTAGACAAGGAACAACACAGCACACAAACCATCCATATGTAACAGGGTTCCTCATCAGTGTGTTTCTGTGCAACAGGCCGATACGCTTAAAGTTCTCACCGCTATGCTAATATTAGCTAATTTCCATCCAAGATTAGAAGGATTAAATAGAGGAATGAACGTCTCCAATATTGAGAAGAGAACAAAAGACAAAGGAGTGGGATAAATTAGCAAAGATGCAAAAAAAGGAAAAGATATGGTTACAGCCGAGAAGATTAAAGTTAATCATTTCACTTAAGACTCCCTTCTGATGCAATGGAAAGACTTTTGTGTTGAAATGTATAAAAACATAAAAATATCAAGGGGTGTGAATACTTTCACCAGACTAATTACAGCAGACTAATAAAAAAAATATTGTGATTTAAAATATTAGAGAAACACGATTGTCTATTTTTACACCTAAAACAATGAAAACCATTTTATTTTGTGTGTTTGAGAGCCGTCTGCGTGGAGTCAGAGCCTCACCTGCTGCTGAGGACGGCAGATCTGGGTCACGTGGCGGCTGCTGACCCAGAGGAGCAGAGTAGGGGGGTGGAGGTACATAGCTGGCAGAGGCATCGAAAGCTGGAGGACTCGGGTAGAACCCCCCTGGAACAAAATAAGATTGTAGGATCACTTTCAGCAGGCGTAGAACATGCTGTCCAGTCCTGGTCCCTACCTGGAGGAGGAGGATTGGGGTAGGAGTAGCTGGGGGGAGGTCCTTGAGGGTACATCCCATTAGCAGGGGGAGGGGGGTAACCACAGCCTCCGTTAGCCATATAAGGGCATCCACCGAAGCCAGGAGTCACAGGT